TAGTATTCTGTAGTGCAGTATTGTATCAGCCTCAGGTTTGACCGAGTTTGCGTCATTTCTATTTTTTAAATGATTTCTTAACAGTTTCCATGTTTTTGGTTATTAGTGTTCTCTCACTACAATACCCTATGTGCATTACACAAATACATCACACAGTCATTGGGAATACCATTCCTGACTGCTGCCCTGTGGCTACTGATCTATAGTGTAATGCTTTTACCTCGGTCGTCAAACAAAATTGTATAGAAAATAGCAATTCTATCTTAATTCAGCAAAATGGCCAAATTTTTTCAATCTCTTTAGCTAAAGACAAAAATACCCAATTAGGTTCTTGCCAACTGTAGCTTTTAGATGTTTAGCTCTTCATATGATGGGACATTTCTGCCATTTGGGTAATTTCATTTTCTCTATTGTTATTGTCATTTGAAAACAATAACCACAGTTATACAGCTGCAATAAGGTATTTGGCTACCTAGCAGCAATGCTAGAAATCCAGCTTCCCTCCCCAGGTAATGAAAAAAAAAATTAAAACAGTCCTGCCCCAAAAATACCCCCCAAAACAGGTGTAGTTTCTCAGAAGTTTCCTCACCTTCACGACACATCTTCAGAATGGGGGTTTCCTAGTCTTAAACTGGAAAATCTTGCTCTAAAAACTATTGTGTCACTGCAAGACGCGAGTAGGCATGTTTTCAACTGATGTAGCCTTGGAATGATGTCATTTTGGCTGGAGTCCCTTTAACTTCTATCATTCCACCACTCCATAAAATAATCATATGCACTGTATTTCACTAAGCTCTGAACTAGTGCAGAAGAAAGTGGACTTGGCCTGCATCTTGCGCTGTTCAAAATTATTTACATGTACATTGAATTATTCATGTGAATCACATGAAACTAAAAAGGCTTATTTTGCAGCCTTTTGTGATATAAATATTGTGCTAACATTTAGTGTGCTGTGTAGCCCAGTGTTCATTTTTAATTTATTAAGGCCTAAAATCTCACCTCATTGCAAACTGTTGCAGGCTCTCCCCCAAGAGCCTCAGTCTTTTAGAGCTCTTTGCTTGGTGAGATCACAGGCCATGACGGATGGGTCACAAAGCAAGCTACACCCGCTAATGGACTGCCAAGTAGCCAATACACAGGAGATTACTCTCTTTGACAGTTGAATTTCAGTCTAGCTGACAGTCAAAATTTAGACCAGTCAATGGTAGATATTGCCAGCAATGAAGAGCCTTTCTGTGCACTTGTCATCTTACTTGTAGAGTGAAGTGTTTCTAGTAGGGGTGGGAATCTCTAGGCACCTCACGATTCGATTCGATTATGATTCAGAGGGCTGCGATGCGATTATAAAACGATTATCGATGCATCTCGATGCATCTTTTTTTTCTATATAGCATTTATATTTTCTCACTGTGTGAGCTCAAGTTTCGAGTTCAAGTTTCAAGTTTATTTGTCACACAACATGTCAGGACATTTATGCATTGAAATGCTTGTGGTGAGGCTCAGCTAATCACTCTACAGAAAGTAAATAAGTAAAAAAAAAAAAGAAAAACCAACTGACATATATTAAATATACACAAAATATACACAGAATATAGAAGCAGTATGAATTTTAAAGTGACTAAGTGACTCAGTACCTTTAAAGCCAAGTATTTGTAATGATCCATAATGAATTTACTTCCAATATCTATTATTAATAAATCAAATGGAAGTGATGTGGCAAGTGAACTAGAAGGCTCTCATTCAGTGCTCTTGTTTGGAGCACGAGAAGCTGCAAAAAAATGCGATAAAATGCGCAGTTACGGTGAAATAAGATCCAGTGTGACTGGATGTCCATGCAGCACATGTTACAGCTATTCTACCCGTTTTCTTTAGTGACTTTATAATTTCGGTTTTGGTCTCGTTGTAGAGACGGGGGGGATCGCTGTGTCAGTAAAATGTCTTTGAGACGGGATGTGTGCAACATAGCGCGAAAGCCCTGTTTCGCAACGATTGAGAACCGGCGTGCAGACTGCAGGTCACGTAGCAGCGATGTGTTATTCGCATTTCTAAGCAGCGCAGTTGGTTTCCTGGTATGTTAAATCTGCAACGAGAGACTGTCAAACACTAAAAAGTGGTGAAGCTGAAGTCGCGTCTTTCGAATTCTCCCGTTCCACCTTAAATGGTGCCGCATTTACATTCGGCGCCTCAGTCAGAATTTAAGGTGGAACGGGTAAATTCTAACAAGAAGCTGGAGAATAAGAAGCGACTTCAGCCTCGTAAAACAGTCGAACGTTGAGAGACATTTAACTGATCTACTTCTGAGGAAAGGTTTTCTGGCAGAGATGGGAGGAAAGCGGCTATAGCTAAAGCTTAAAGCAGAGCAAAGTAAATGTGCGTTTTCGTTTATATTGTTTAGTCTCTACTAGAACATCAGCACACACAGACATACTGGACATCAAATGTTGTGGCTCCCAAGGTGGTTTGATTTTTGCTGAAAGGACAAAATGTTAACATTTGTGTTGTGACTCCTGACCTGACCTGGCTTTTAATGCAGAGGGAGCCGGTCGGATTTCTCACTCATCCAGTTGTGTTTTTGTTGTGTGCCATTACAGACTGTCTGGGCGCTGCGCTTCTGCACTTCCAAGTTTCGCCTTTTGCATCCGTCAACATTATGTTATAAATGAAATATTTAAAAAATCGATTTTTGACATTTGTGAATCGATTCAGAATCGTTCACGTCTGCATCGCGATGCATCTAAGAATTTGTTTTTTCCTGCACCCCTAGTTTCTAGTGGACAGTCCACAAGTTTAATTCAGCAGGTGGTGACTTCACTGCAAATCTGAAAAAGTAGCAGAAGGACTAAAAATAACTACTGAATCTAATTTCATTTTCATTCTCACATTCACTCTTATTACTGACTGATGGTTACTTCAAAAGGCAGGTATTATAATTGTTCAGCTCCCAATCATATTTCTTCGTGGAATGCCACTTTGTTTTTCTCTTTTGCATTTAACGTTAGATGTTTATCATTAGAAGTAACTCAAGAAAAATTGCAATAAAACCACCTGTATTCCTTGTGAATCCAGTTGGTTTCAAAACACTGTTGCCCTGTCTGAACATTCAGATGAGAGAGATCACATCTCAATGGAGAAAGACAGAACCAGTGCTTTGATGTTATTGCACCTTGATGACAGTAGTTCAGGTTCTTACAGCACATCTTTAAATTTTTTAAGTTGGTACTAAATTATATGCTATTACATCATTCCGCCTGCTCTCTTCCTCACAGTGCCTTGCTAGAAAGTACAAGTGACTTACAGGGTCACATGAAAGCCAAAATAAAAGTACCATTGGTGCTGCCCTGTTTTTTTTTAAAACCTCACAGCATGTCTCTAAAGTGATGCCATCCAAATCTTGTGCTAACCAGTCTAGGCCTGCACTAGTCTCGCAGGACCAGACATGATCTCGTAATGAGAATATCTGGGGACAACCACGAGAAGTTTCAGGCTAAATGTGAGTGGGAACATCAGACTTGTTAGGGTGGGAACAAGTTAAAAGTGAAATTTCTAATCCGATCTAACGCTTTATGAAGACAGAGCTCAAAGTTCGGTGTGATGTGCACTCAACATTGTCACTTGGACAGCAGGCTTATTGTTAGTCCATGGGTGTAACAAAAGTTAGCATGGCTGAAAAGTGCCCCCAAAAAACTCAAAATAAGAACAGAGATGTGTGTCACATGTGGTAAAAATGACTTTATGCAAGGAAATAACAGTTCGCTAAAAATAATGTCTTTTTGATTGTACTCTGGATGTTAGAACAAACTAGAGGAATGTGGGGATGGGTTTTAGAGGGGCATACCCTTGTTAGCAGTGGATTTCCAGCACCACGCCAGCCCAGCACCAAAGTTTAACAAGTTTTCCCCAAATATATGTTGTCAAAAACATTTATCCATGTGAACCCCCTCGTCCCTGGTAATTCTCCATAAGATAGAGCTGTTAAAACTGAAATACTTTTTGTTTAAGTCATTGAAAGGGAGGAAACAAGCATGATTCCACTCCAGCAGGATCTCACAAATACAAGTGAATCATAGCAAGTCAGATGGCACAATAGTCATTAATCACAGCAAATAAGGGGAATGAGGGTGTTAAACGCTGGTTGTTTGAGTGCAAATGCTGCAGAATTTATGTTGCTCTCAACCCATTTAATCCCAGTTTTTTTTCCCCAGCTATGTGGGTACATGAATTTTACTCCTTGAGCAGCCCTATAACACAAACTGTATGCCTTTTTGAGAAATTGCTTAAGAAAAGTTCATAAAATCTAAGTTCTGAAACTATTGGGAAACTACAGAGTCAAGAGTTGCCTCAGTTAATCAATCAGACCCAATTACAGAGGAAAAAAATAATAATAATTGTATTACAATGAACCATGTGAAGAAGCTGATGCAGCATACTGATACAATGATGGAAATGTTGAATGTGGTCTCTGCTGGGTCATCAGGCATATCCTAAACTTCTGACAGAGTCAAGCTATTTGGATAGAAAATTTATAGTTAGAAATATCAGCAGCAAATCTGAACCACTGTGTTATTCAATCAGTCACAGTTGTTGACCGTTCACATGTGAGCATGATATACATATGGCAGTACAATCTTATTGAAAATCAATAGTGGACCTATTGAATATTACATGCATCAAATATTATATGTGTATCTGTATTATAAAATGTTTCATTTACTTCTTAAAGAGCTCCATTGCAGACATCATCTTTCTCAGGTGCTTAATTCAAGTATTGAACTTGGTCATCAAAACAACTTATAATAGTTAATTTCCTATTTAGTAGAAAACACACTAACTTTAGAGCTTTACAAGCTCAAAACAATTTTGCGTCACAGTTGTGACCAGGAGGCTTAAATGAATCAATTCAAATTGCAGTGAGAAATGGATCAAGATTACGGTTTGAGCCCTAATCGCTTCGACAAAGTTCAATCCAAAAACATGAACCTCTTTTCTCTTCTCTTCCCCAGGTGTCATTCTTCTTGTTCATCATCTTTGTGGTGTACACTATGCTCCCTTTCTCTATGAAGGATGCCATCATAGCCAGCGTGGTCACCTGCTCATCTCACACTGTGGTCCTGAGTGTGTGCCTGTCATCCGGTAGCGAGCGTGCAGAGCCGTTAGTGTGGCAGGTCAGTGCCCTTCCTCTGTCCTCCCCATGGCCCTGGCAACGGCTGCCAGAATTAGCTCATGCTTCAACTACTGCAGAGAGAGAGAGTGAATGTGTGTGTGTGTGTGTGTGTGTGTGTGTGTGTGTGTGTGTGTGTGTGTGTGTGTGTTGGTGGGGTGGCTGGGCAGTGGGATTTCTGCCAGGTCACTATGTGTTTGTCTGTGTCTGTGTTTGTTTTTGTGTATTTTCAGAAAAAAATATCCTGACTTTCAGAAGGAAAAACAGGGTAACTAACAATGTCAGGACCAATACAACTTTGTAAAACACTTTTTTTACAGAAGCTATATGTTTCTTTAAAAAAAAAAAAACTATAAGAAAAAAACAATTTATTGCTGGTTACTGTGAGGTCAAGTGTTAGGCTTGGAAAAGTCTTATTTGGTATGTTCATACAGAATGTTGCGCAAAAGTCAGAAACAACCTCTCACATAATCATCACATGTAAACCTTACAATAAAAAATTTGTTCATTCTTTTTAGAAGACTTGTTATCAGGTTTGAAGAGAAATCTGCAGGGATATTTTTCCACACCTCCAAAGTTTTGTCTTGGTCATTGTTGATTTTTTGAACTCTTGAAAAATGAATAACTTGAATAACTTAATGGCTGTAAATGGAAATTAAATAAATGGAGGGTAATCTCTGACTTTTACACAGCAAAACTGGACTTTTAGTGCTGATGTGATGGTATTTCTTACTTATTTAGTAGCTGGTGCTAGTTTAGCAGTAAGGCGCACAGTACAGTCATAACTAGGTTAAAACATTGCACATTGTGTAACCTTCTTCAGCAGGTTCCCAGACCTGAATGTAATTTAAACATGGCCTAAAATGCCTCTACAAAATGAAAATGCATTATAGCGTGATTTTAGAACGCCTTCCTCTACGCCACTGCCAGAAAAACAGTCAAAAATTCATCTTTGTTGTTTTCATCTTCTGCATCTCCGCTGACAAAAGCCTGCCACTCTCTCCCTCCTGATTTTGCAGAATTCCTTTCTTCCTCCCTCTCTCTCTCTTTCTCTCTGTTTTGATCGTGGGTACGCGGTGTCTGAAGAAAACCGCAGGGCTGACAGCTGAAGTGCCTTAGGCAAAGTAGTGGGAGCTGCTCTGGCAAACTGGCAGCCAGCCAACACAACAAAAGATTGACTAGTCTACTAAACAGGAGTATACAAAATGAATCTAAGTACGTCTTACTTGCAGCATTTCTAGGATTCTTTCATTTTTTTAAATTAATTGCCCCAGGCATGTGGCAGAAACAGAGCAAATTCTGTCACCTGTTCAGGATTTCACTGGATGGTCCTGGATTTTTGTTGTCTTTCCTGGACAGTGTCTGAATTTAAGCATTTTCAGATGTCAAACTGTTTCTTTTTATCCAGTCAAACCATTTGTATACAAAGAATGGGTTTGAACGGTTCAGTTACCCTCGGTTACCCTCAATATAGGGACAGTTGTTTTAATAACTAAGTGGACATCAGCAATGTTAAATTCTGCACCAGCCCCAAAAAAGAGTTGTCATATATGCAATACAATTGAGTGAACCTCTCCATATTCTACACAGTTTATGTTTACAAGGGGGGCAGTTGTGGGCTGGAGGTTAGGCTACCAGCCTTGTGACTGGAAGGTCGCTGGTTCGATCTCCTCAGCTGACAGTACGTGACTGAAGTGCCCTTGAGCAAGGCACCTAACACCCAACTGCTCCCCGGGTGCCGTGGATAGGGATGCCCACCACTCTGGGCAAGTGTGCTCACTGCCCCCTAGTGTGTGTTCACTAGTGTGCATGTATGTGGCTGTTTCACTGCACGGATGGGTTAAATGCGGAGGTCTAATTCCAATGTGTTTAAACGCTGTTGGCTAAAGGTTCATTCATGTCTTTTTTGCATGTATAAAGTGATTTGTTTCAGGGTATGTGCAATGTGTTCAGGGTACCACAAGGTCACATTGTCTTATTTTCTGTTTCAGGATCCTGAACCCATTTGATTTGTTATAGGATACAACAGCCATTTCCCTTTCGTGTAAACTCTAATCCTCTCACCCAAAGATCATTATGATACGAGCTTTAGCCTTTTCTGAGGGGAACCGTGCTGCTTCATGATGCGTTTGCCCTAGCCACTGTGAGCAAACAGATTTGTGGCTCTGCAGGCTGTCAGAGTGGGAGGCACTCAGGCAAAGTCGTGCCAGCAGCCTGTCGGCTCCGTGTGCCAACCTTGCTCCTCGCCACAGTACAGCACAGTGCTACTGCTGTATCCTAGCCTACTAACCTGGGATGGGCAATACGAAGGATACGAAGGGATATGCTCTGTACCCACTTGGACACCACTAGGATTTGCTTATACCCTTAAAAATGCATAATGACGCATAGAAGATTAATCTGTCTGGTTGTTACCTTCGTGGTCTGTGGAACTTTGATACGAAAAAGTAAAATAACACATTGATGCTGAAACTTAATTCTGAACAGCCATGGAAATAAAACTCTCCCTCACTGTTTGGCTGAATCTCAGATGACTCCCTACTTCCTATGTAGGTCCAAAAATAATTGCTACTGCATGCTAATGTAGAATAGAATATAGTGTAGAATATAAGCCATAAGCTGCACAACTACTTAACGTTTAGCGTACTTGCGTGTAGGCACAAACACATACTTTCATGACCTGTGCAGTGTATCACATAGGGAGTAGGGAGTCATTTGAGATTAAGCCTTTGTCAAGCTGGTTGATGTATTGAAAGCAAAACCTTTAGCAGTTCAACAAATGCAAATTTCTAAGGCATTACAACAAATTACTGCTAGTAATGCTTCTACCCTTTAAAAAGATTTTGCCGGTTTCCCAGATCTCTTTCCTAGAAGAATGCCATGAGACACTTGTGGTTCCCCGCAGATCTTACTGAATTAATATAAATGTTGGCTAGCTAATTTAACTAGTGTTAGTGTTTAGTATTTCATAACTAAATTCTCCCCATCATCTCCCCATTTGCAGTGAATGTAGCATTAATGGGTTATGAGTATTTATGTATTTTATTTACTTTAGTTTATTTGTGTTGTTTTGTGCTAGCTGGGCCATTCTTGCAAACTATGGGTAATATGGCAGTTAATGTTTGTACCTGAGATTATGTACACATTGATCTGTTGAAATCATGAAATCTGACAAAGGACTTCTGGTAAGAAACTATAAAGGGAGTCATGTTGGTCCAGCTCAGCAGGGTTTTGTCTAATGGAGAAAAACAGACGTCCTGCTTGGCTAAATCATGTGCTCTAATCTAGACTACATTAGCATTAAAGCTGCTGGTATAGTGTTAAAGAGCAGCTCTGCTGTCTCTCAGTCTAGCCCTAAAACAGTCTAGCCACTTGAACTTGTCTTTACTGTTATAACTCAAGCTCAAGCTGCTCACCTCAACATTGGAAAGTAGCACCAAAATATCAGCTCCATCTGTATTGTGTTGCTGCAGTTTGAAGGATTTATGTTTCAGCAGTGCTCGAGGTGAAAGCATACAGCACCGCTCACAGAGCAGATTGAATCGGATGGAGGTGTCATTGGCTGAGCAGCGGGAATAGATTTCATTAGGGCTGAGCATTTTCCCGTGGGGCAGTCAGCAAATAGCATCCTGCGCACTTGAAACGGGTAATGAAGGAGACACAGCCACAGATTCTGGGAGGTTGCTGTTTGAAAGACAGCGATACAGCCCACAAGATAGATGGCTTGATGCAACCTAAACTGAGCAAACACTGCATCACATTGGTTGTAATTAATTCATTCTCTCTCACTCTGTCTTTCTCTCTCTCTTGCTCTCTCACTCACTCTCTCTAGGACTCTCTCACTGTCTGCCTCTTTCCCTCATACTTTCTGTCTCTATCCTTCTCTCATTGTGTCTGTCTTTATCTGTAGATAATCTGTCCTGTTTGCCATCTCCATTCAGTTTTAGTCATTTCTATTTATACTGAGCTTTTCATAATACATATTGTCATGTATCAGCTTTGGAATCCTTGCCTGAAAGCAAGCCAAGAGCTACACTAGAGAAGTAAACATTGTTCATGCTCAGCCGTAAAATCTCGGCTGCTGTGTGAGATGTAATCTCAGCTAATGCATAGAGCAGCAGCTGCTGAAGAAAGTGCTCGCTCTGTCGGCATGACTGTGTGTTAATTGAGGTGATTTCAGACATATTCACTAATGAATGCTTGATTTTCTTGGCATCTGCTTACGAATAACACCCAGTAGAAACAGGCATGTACTGTAGACACTGCACATCAACAAGGAATGTGCCAGTGAAGAGAAAGCTGTCAAAACTGCACAAGACGATATTGCAATGAGCAAGTGTGTCTGGGCTTCAAAAGCATGTTATCGCACTCTGGGTCTAGTTGTGACATTATAGAGACAGGGGCAGTCCATTTGACGTGGACACAAAAGGTCTCCGTGGCCTGTGGTCATCTTTCTGCAGGTTAAATTCATTCAGGTCTTCAGATCAGAAATTGCATTTTGCAGCTACACAAACGTGATCAACTCTACTTTTCAGTGTCACCATTTGACATAATTTCAGAAATACCAGCTGCCTTATGAGATCATTTGCAGGTGTTATGATGGGCCTTTACATTGCATTAAGTGTTTTGATATTCATAGTATTGAATGGTGTATGTTGGGCTACATTGATTCGTACATGCATTTGTTGCTTTCACATTGTCTTAGTAGGCAGCAGGGCTGGCCCAAACAGCATTTTAAATTTGAATACTCGTTGATCTTTTAGAGCAAGTATTCTAATACCCCTTTTATAGCATTCTAAACTATATTTAAAAGTAAAAATTTACTTAAATGTGTTCCTAAAAGTGTACAAGAGCAGCTCCTGCACTGTACTAATGATGTGTAAGGGGACTCTTTTTTGCTGTAAAACGTATTTGCTGTAAAATAGTTATAATTTATATTTAACATTTTTTTTTCCATATATTAACTATAACTTTTATATATAAAGGCCTTTGCTGATGACATTT